AATTCTGAGTTTATATCTCAATTCTGACTTTATATCTCAATTCTGAGTTTATCTCTCAATTCTGAGTTTATTTCTCACAATTCTGAGTTTATCTCTCAGTTCTGAGTTTATTTCTCACAACTCTGTTTATATCTCACAATTCTGAGTTTATATCTCATAATTCTGAGTTTATCTCAATTCTGAGTTTATATCTCATAATTCTGAGTTTATCTCAATTCTGAGTTTATATCTCATAATTCTGAGTTTATCTCAATTCTGAGTTTATATCTCATAATTCTGAGTTTATCTCAATTCTGAGTTTATATCTCATAATTCTGAGTTTATCTCAATTCTGAGTTTATATCTCAATTCTGAGTTTATCTCTCAATTCTGAGTTTATATCACAATTCTGAGATTATTTCTCACAACTCTGAGTTTATATCTCACAATTCTGAGTTTATATCTCATAATTCTGAGTTTATCTCAATTCTGAGTTTATATCTCACAACTCGAGTTTATATCTCACAATTCTGAGTTTATATCTCATAATTCTGAGTTTATCTCAATTCTGAGTTTATATCACAATTCTGAGATTATTTCTCACAACTCTGAGTTTATATCTCACAATTCGGAGTTTATATCACAATTCTGAGATTATTTCTCACAATTCGGAGTTTATATCTCACAATTCAGAGTTTATATCTCAATTCTGAGTTTATATCTCATCTGAGTTTATATCTCATAATTCTGAGTTTATCTCTCATAATTCTGAGTTTATATCTCAATTCTGAGATTATATCTCAATTCTGAGTTTACCTTTATCTTGCAAAAACAGTCAAAAATGTGAGAAATAAACGCAGAATTGCGAGAAACAAAGTCAGAATAACGAAATAGAAAGTTCACAATGACCTATTTTTATTTCTTTATCCTGTGGTGAAAACAGGCTTCCCCAGAAAATACTATATCAGTCTATATACTTCAAAATTTCATGTTTAATTTAGTGTTACTTGCTGTTTCTTTGTAATTATTGGTGAAATTTACTAGCTGAGAATTTTTGTACACCAAATTTTATTCAGTGTACATTTAAATCTCTTCATAAATGCTTCTCAGCTTTGAATCTACTGATTTTGTTTGATTTATAGGTGCTTTGGGAAACGTAAAGCGCACTTTCAGCATTCAAGGTAAAATTCTGACACACAGGAGTATGGTAATATACGAAGAGTGTGAGTTAATGAGACCGTTTTCCAGAGCTGACCGTGACTCAGGAAGAGCTGAAGGATTGTGGGAAGCAGAAGAAGCTGTGTGTGACGTCTAGCGCGGACTGTCTCTATACAGCATCAGACGGAGCTCCTCGAGTTCCCAGAACATCTGGTACGAGCCTGAAACCGTTCAGACTGGGTTTACCAGCATATTTGCTGTTGATTTGGTTTTAATTGTTGTTTTTGCCCTCAAGAGAACTTCCTGAACACATCATGCCACTATCTGATGCAAGAGGAGTCATTGACCTGCAGATGGGCTCAGACAAACCACATCAGATCACAAACCATCAGCAGCTTCATTTTCAGCCGGTAAACCTGTCTGACGAGTGTCATCAGTACTGCTGCTGATAATAATAATGAATAAACGCCTCTATGAATCCACCTGTTAATGTCGTTTTTGTTTCACAGAGCTGAGGACTTCTACCACTGTCCCTCTATTTTAAAAATATATTCAACTTTCAATTTAACCATCAAGTCAAAGAGTGTCTTCAGCCAGAAAGAGCAGTTCTCTGACGTCTATCTGCTGGTCATTCGGGATATAAGTAAGAGGACAGTTATGGCTTTCATATTGATTTGATTTTAGCATAGAATGGTGGTGATAAATGTGACAGACTCCAGAATGATTGTGTGAATGTTGTAGTCCAGGCTCCTCGGCCGCTGATCTCGTCTGTTAACGTCACTGATTCGTCAATCAACGTCACATGGACCAGCGGGAAAATACCAGTCACTAAATGCAAAATCCGTTACAAACGTCTCAACACAGAGTCATGGGCCGAGGTCAGAAATGACAGAACATGCTTGAAATTTTATTTATTTTTTTTGTGGAGAAATATCTACCTGTCAGAACTCATAGATAATTAAGATAAAAAGTACTACTAATGCAAAATTTGTATATTATTTATTTATTTTAATGTCAGAATTGCTATAGATGATTGTCAGACATTCATAGATGATTAAATTAAATTACATTTAAATTATTATCATTATATACTTAGACCAGTTTTATCCAATTAATTATTAGAATTCTAAAGTATGACACAATCTGATTGATTGTTGACGCTTAAAAAGATGCTTATTAAAGTAAAGAGCCGTGTGTTTGTATCTCAGACTGCAGATTTGCCGTCCTCGGTCGAGTCTCAGTTCATGATCGAGGGTTTACAGGCCTTCAGTGAGTATCATCTGAGAGTCTCCTGCTCTCACGGATTCGGCCGATGGAGCGACTGGAGCGACGAGACTCGAGTGAAGACGTCAGAGAGCTGTGAGTGACGACAACAGGACTTTAATATGGTTTTCACACAGTCTGCTAATATGTTTGGCCAGTGTTGGGAGTAACGCATTACAAGTAATGCGAGTTATGTAATCAGATTACTTTTTTCAAGTAACGAGTAAAGTAACTTTCCCCAGCACTGTGTTTGGCTGCCGCTGTATTTCTGCTGTCATGTTCTGTATCAGTGTGTCTGAAAGTCGTCTTTCATGTGTGTTTGCAGTGCCGACTGTTGCTCTCTCTCTCAGTTATTATGTGGATTCAGATGAAAACTCCAGGATTCGGCAGCTGGTGCTTCTCTGGAAGGTAATATAGCACACGTGTGTGTGTGTGTGAGTGTGTGTGCACATTTTTTTTTAATGCTTTTGTGTTCTTTTATAAAAGTTTTATGTTCTGCCAATAAACTTTATTTATTTATGTTTTATTTTTGCAAGTGACCGCAAGCCTTCTTGTGGGAACTCAAAACATTTGTGAGAGAAAGCAAAAACATTAAATATATTTTTCCACCCATTTCATATTTATTCCATCATCATATCCCTTTATGGGCTTTCTAGCCATTCAAGAGGAACTAGGAACAATTTTAGTTCTAGGAACTCCTTTTACAGGATCTAAATTACATAAGTGTACACTCACTGGCCAAACACATACAAAACACCAGCACTCTGCATTTTTGAAAAGCCATGTAAACATATTTATTCCATGAACATGGAAAACAGCGATAACGGCATTTACCTGTTGTCTGCAGCATTGTGTTCTTTTATCCGCCTCGAGCTGTCTTGGAGATTCTGTCTCTCTGCACCACTTTTTGCTCTTTCGGTCGTGTAAATTATGTGTATACATTCCATCTTTGTTATCACGTTATC